ACTGAGATCTAAGCAACAGGGTCCCATTCCAACACGCCTTCTGCAACCAGAGAAAAGCTCAATCACGCTGAGAACAAACTCCATTTAGGAAGCAAGACGCTCTGGCAGATTGCACAGGAGTCTAATTGTCGAAGACGCCTCCGTCCCGAGCTGCGAGAGGTCTTTGTTGCACCGCACGGGGCCGATGAGGCGGCTGTGAGATCAGACGTGAACCTGTGAGCGTTTCCGCCGGGTAAAGCCACCACGGCCCTCTTTGAACACCACTCTGTTACCATGGAGACGGGCCAGCGGCGCCACGTCCGAGCATTGGACACGGATGAGAGGGAGAGGGAGAAAGGGAAGGAAACGGTTGCATCCAGTGAACAGTCCAGGTTTGGTTCCTAGTTTTGTTGTCTAAAACACTCACTACTTAACTTGCATCAAAGGCACCTTGAGGTTGCAGCTCCTCAGGAAGCTCAGTGGCTTCGGGATGAATTAGAACATTCTTGCAATGGAGGGGAAACATTAAGTAGTAATTACAGAGGAACTTTAAAAGAATTACACAAGAAGTGCAGTGAAACGATTAAATACAAAGTTACAACCTCTATTTTTTACAGGCTGAACAAAGTCAACTAACTGATTTATTTAATTTAACTTCCATTTGCTATGAATAAGATTTAATCAATACTAAACCAATACTGCTTATCAATACTTTAATTGGCTCTTTTGAAATATTTTGTTTATTTTGAGAAAAATCAATATTGCTTTCAAATACATTTGCAGCTCAACAATAAGCATTCATTTATTAGCCTATTAATATTATTTAACTCAACGCTCCACAGAGAGGCTGAGAGAGCAGTACGAGGCTGATAATTAAAGAACCAACAGCCGACCAGTTAACTCACTTCACAATGAAGCATCAAGACATGAGAGGACGCGTCAGCGTCCACGTCTCTGAAGTTTAGATGTCGAACATTTTGCCCGGAGGATTGTTTCGTCGTTGCCTTCCAGAAATGTGCTACTGTTTCAATTTGGTTGTTTGTCCGTTTTTTTTCTTGTAGTTAATGTTGCACAACTGCACTTTTGTGTTGCTCCTCGAACAGTAAGCACACACACACACACACACACAGACACACACACACAAAGTAAGGAGAGAGCGGACAGAACACAAGATCCATTGTGTTTGATTCACAGTCAATAACACAGTTTGTTCTTCTGATCAATGACGGCCTCTTAGCCGCACACACACGCACACACACACACACACACACACCAAGTAAAGCATACATTGTTTGACCAAAAACATATTTACGCGTAGGAGTTTTTTGTCTGAGATGAGTGCTTGAAGACTAACGAGAGAACACACCGGAAGCGACAACGACCAAAGGGAAGATGAGACGGCAGAAACAAACACACACACACACACACATTAGAAAAGGACACTTATTTGACACCTCACTACAAGACCACAAGCCAAACCCATTAGCAGCTTTACGCTACTTCCTCATCGGAGACGAACGCCGCAGTAAGGCCTCAAACTTAGTGTTGGAGAGAGAGAGAGAGTCTCACAGACACTCGCACACCGCGCCGGAAAGACCATTTCCCGCCGGGCGGCACCTGACAAACGCAGCGGAGCAGTGACATCACCTCCAGTGTGGCGCGAAGAGCACGTGCTTCATCGTCGCCGTGGAAAGTCAATCGAAACTGGGTTGTTTGTTCACACACAGGTCTGAGCAGAGAGCCGGGCTTTGATGGGACGCATCAGAGTGGAACATAATTACAACGTTTCTTACATTAGAAACATGTAAACCTCTGTGTGTGCGAGGCAGCAGAGACCATGAAGAAAGATCGTACACCAACAGCAAAGGGTTGAACAGCGTATTCTGCAAGGTAAAAACGTGACGTAAACATTGCAAGATTACATCCGTCTTTTTCCAATTAAGTTTGCCTTTTGGGCGTAACATCAGGATCAGGATCACACGAGACGGAAAGGACGACTAACAATACAAGTGCAGCAGAAACTTTGTCTGCAACTGCACAGTAACAGTTTAAACTGAATAGATGTTGAGCCTGATGGCTTTTAAATGCATCTCTCAAGGAAATAACAAAAATGATAACGATAAACCCGCTTCCATGTTCTTCATTATTTCCCTTTGACACATTATATCCAAACAAGCTCATTTCTGTGATTGTCAGTCAGTGTATTATATATGAAAGCAGTTGAGGAAAAAACTGCGGGCAAAATTGAATCGGCGTGCATTAGATATAGAACTCGAAATCAAATATATGTTTTTAAAAAGCAGGTATTAAATATCCAACCACACATTGCTGAGAAGATGTTTCACACAGCTTTGCGGCTGCATCTTGCTTCTCTGAATGATCTAAACGTGAGGCGTTTTGTTTTTAAATGGGGAGGAAATGTCGACATGGAAAGCACAATATGTGGCAGATGAAAGCAGACAAAGGATGAGCAGGAAGACAGGTGGACATGTGGAGATGCGGCCTGGGGGAAAGACAGAGTGGAATCGAGTCGAGGTCAGTGAACCTCTGCAGACGGACCCTGGAGGAGGACGTTTCAGTCTCACGCACACACAAAAACGTACCAGCCTCCAGCTTTAGCTTCCGTTTCATCTCTGCAGCTCAGATCCCACTGGAGGTTCCTCCTTGGCTCTCCTGCCTCCTCCTTTGACACAAAACACTTGGCACCTCGCGGCCTTCTTCTATTACTTTTTACTCTACGTGTCTCCCAGAAGAGAGGAAAGACCAGACGAGTCTCCGTCAGTCTGAGGGCGAGACTCTGCCCTCCCCGAATCTCTCCTCACGCGCACGCTGCTACTGCTACTGAGCATGCGAGGAGCCAATTAATTATCGGCTAATTGTAATTAATCCCACAGGCGGAGCGCCAGCTGTAGAGCGGCGGGCTCTGAACAGACCTAATGCCGAGTTTTAACAGCACCGGGGGACAAACACATCACGCTCACAGACAGCTGTGGAGCAATAAACCGCAAGCGAGTCATAAACTCTCGCCAGTCAGCAACAATCCATCATAATATTTACCAATAGTTACATCCCATGGCGACGGCTCCGACCGACCGCCGCCGCCGCTGTGACACGAGTTGCTGTTTAACGAGAGTTACTGTGTGTATCCAACTACGTAAAAGTGAGTCGAAACTCCAAAACGAAAAAGGTGACCTGCAGGAACCGTGCGTCCGCCCCGAGGAACGACCGGCTGAACGATGGCTGTCTATTGTTTCGCCAATCCGAGAGTCGACCTTTGAACATTTTTTAGCACCAAAATCACCAACTGTGCACACAAAACCAAAAAAGATGGAAGACAGAAGAGCGGTGAAAAAAAAAAAAAACATGCAAGATTTAAGAGAAGCGTGCATGAGTGTCGCGTGGAGATGGGAAGACGGCGCCATGGTTCTGATGGGCAGACGAGCCCGTGGGTTTTGAGCTTACCTTGGAGTACTGTCTACGAAGGTTGAAGCGCTGCACCATCCTGATGTTCTCACAGCTGGAACCCCGGTTCCAGACCTCTATACTGATATCTCTTCAGAGAGCAAAACGGCAAACACTGTCGAGTCCACATTCATTCACCCACACACACACCCACACAAACACACCGACACACATACGGAAGGTACACACACTACACCCCCCCCCTCTCCAAACAGCCATGAGCACACACGCTTCTAGACATGCAAACACGAGTGAGGAGAAGATGAGGAAAAAGAAAAAGAAAGGCAGCAAACAGGCAGCTCAGCTGTGCCCTCTACTCATATTCATCCCCTGAGCTCCGTCTCCCCCAGACACAAGATCCTTACACCACATGGCTGTCAAAGGATTTACAGAGCACACACACACATACACACACACACACACGGTTTCTGCTACCTCTAGTTGCGCACACACACACACACACACACACACACACATACTGTACACATATGCACAGCCATCCACGTCCTCTGTCACACAACATGCACCGCACTCGGCTCTCACTCATCTAGGACGAGGCAAGGTTGCCTCGTGCTTCCTGTCGCGGAGCTGAAGGGTGGGGCGAGGAGGAGGGGGAGGGGGGGAGAGATGGAGGAGGAGGAGGAGGAGGGACCAGCTGACAGCCTGCACTAACTAACCCTCTCAAGGGACACAGGGAGGGGGACAGGGAAGGAAAGAGCGAGAGAGACAGAGGAAGAAAGACAAGGGGGCGACATAAAGGGGGGAAAGAAAGGAACGAATCGTCCTTCCAAAACAGACACATTATGACAAGACACGCAACCCCTGACCTCCACTCACAAAAGGAAATCTCACATACACACACCTCCAAGGTCAAACGCGCTGTTACCATGGCAACCCCGGCCGGGTCGGGGGGGGGGGCTAACCACGGCGACAGCTTGGGCAGACCTGAATGATTTTGCTGGGTTGCAAGGCGGAGACGGGGCCTTGGCGTTAGCAAAAGCGACGGGTCGACGGACGCCCATCACACTGACAGAGCGCAGTTGTCTGGCTCTTAGCCCCGCCCCCATCGTCCCCAGGTGAGGTCGCTCCCTTACCTCTGGACGATACCCATTTTTGGCAAATGGAAAAGGCGTCTTCTAAATTTAGCCCACAGACTGAATCTGTCAGGGATGTTGGATATTAACGCCCACTGGTCTTGGCTGAAGTGATCACTCCACCTGTGAAACCCCGATGCAGAGTCCTCGTCTCGGCACAGTTCATCAACCCAAAAGATCCGCCTGCCCCGCCCGCAGGCATGGCGAAGCTCGCAGCGCAAACACAACCTCCCGGTGAACCGAGCCCCGCTCACAGCGGGTTACCTGATCTGAGAGTGACATCTGGTGGCAGACAGGACCAACTGACGTCCGGAGGGGAGGTTGAACCTCCTCCCCTGTTCAAATGACCCAAAAGTAACCCGGTAAACTATTTTAAATACATTCCCTGGATTAAACGCACTATGGTCATACAAAAAAGGCGCCGCTATTCCCAAATAAAGAGATGACAATGACTCCATGGCTTACCCTGTCGGTCTCCTCCGTGGACTGGTACCCTGACGACAGCACCACGTCGCCTCCGGTGTACCCGGGCTTGGGGCTGCTGGGCGCGGTGTCGCTGGTGGAGGAGGAGCGCGGCCGGCTGGTGTGCTGCTGCGGGTCGTGGGTGTGGCGGCGGTGCGGGGCCTGGGGGCTGCCCCGCAGGAGAGGGTCGCGGTCTCCGCTGCCGGAGCCTTTGCTGCGCCGGCTCTGCAGGCTGGTCCCGCGCCTCATGGTGCCGGCGGCGCCGGAGCCCCGGCCAGCTGCAGAGGGAACCACAGGGGCAGACAGGTGGTCAGATTCGGGGCAGCGGGGCCCCGAGGCATCCCCGGGGGCAGCGGGGAAGGCGCCACCCGCTGACACGACAGAGGAGGACGAGGAGGAGGAGGAAGACGAGGAGGAGGGGATGGCGGAGCGAGAGAGGGAGAGGCGTTTACGCTGCTGCTGGAACAGCTGTTTCAGTCCCTGGCCAAGAACCCCAACGCTCTCCCTGGCGTTCTGGCTCATCTTACTGAAGGAGGGGGGCTCTGAGTGGGATGAGGCCCTTTTCAAGCCCGGGCCCCCTGCTTCTCCCGCAGTTCCAGGACCTGAACTGGCGCCCGCCCCCTCTGGCCCCCTTTGAGTGTCATTGACCTGCTGCACGTGGCCCCGCTGACCTCGCATGAATAGCGGTTCTCTCTATCAGTAAGACATGCGGCGGGTCAGAAAGGGACAACGGCCGAGGTACTGCAGACTAGAGACCAGTACAGTACAGAGTACAGTAGAGAATAGTGGAGGTGGAGGTGGAGGTGGGGGTCTGGTGGAGGGTTGGATCGGCTCAGAGGGATGAATCCACATTGGGAGCATGCAGCTTCTACTCGGGAACGAGTCGCCCTGCCGGTGTAGCACAGACAGAGAGAGGAGATGGATTATGAGAGGCGGACACTCATTTTCCCTTTGGCTCGTGACATTTGCATCTTTGAAATTGAAATGAAATGGTTGAAAACGTTGGAATGCAAAAAGGCGGCCGGCTGCACAGCAATCATCTGCCTCTCAGCACCACAATCAGTGTGCAAAATACCTTGATTGACACTTGAGACCCAACACTTCAGGACGGGGTCCTTGAAAACACCTAAAACTCATCACCTTGACAGTAAAGAAGGTATTTTACAAGCGTATTGTGTCCATTGGTAATAATTAAATACAGTTCAGAGCATTTCTCCACTAGGAGAGGATTGTTTTGCATGGGACATAAAGTGGGAAGTTTGCTTAATGATGCAGGTAATTGTCAAGTGGCCTTATTGCTAATAATAGTAGCCGAGGTCATTTGGTTGACTTATATTCACCGGCTGCCACCAGGAATTTTGCACACCGACCAAAGTCAATTAGGGTTTCAAGAATAATATGAATACTGAATATTATCAGACAGCGACAGCTGACCAGGCCCTTGAATCATTCCACTTTCAAAGAGGCCAACGTTGCACGAGCAAATACAAAACAAAGCAATGAAAAGGAAAAATAAGTTGCATCCGGTTTTGCTCCAGGATCACAAAACATGGCACAAATGAATTCAAGAGCAAGCAGGTGCGTGCGGGGCGAAATAAACGACAGCCTGGAGTCAGAAAGCCACGAGAGGCTGGAGGAGTGAAGGAACGCTGAGAAATAATGACTCACGTCAGGGGAAAGAGAAAAGGACGCACTTACCAGCAGCTGTCAGCGTGAGTCACTCTGGATCACCTGAGAGGAGGACGGACGGACCAAAGAAAGAGAAGAAGAGTCACTCTCAAGATGCCAAACGTCAATCCTCACTGACACTCAACACAATCCGGCGTCCAGAGAGGACAAAGGTGTCCTCAGAGACAGACCGGCAGTGTGAGTCTAAGTCAAGTCACAAATCTGTCTCTAATACTGCAAATACATTTTTTTTATGTTTAAATATGATCAATTTCCTCATACTTTCAGGTTGTTTGTTTTCTTTCTCCCTCCCTTCCTTCCATCCTGCCGTAAAATCAAGTCAACGTGATGATGACTGCGACGTATGAACGTTCCACAGACCCGTAGAAGGACGAGTCAGTTACCGTGTGCATCATAATGCGAGCGTGCACCCACACACTTAACGGCACTTCCTGGCAGTCGCGGTGAAGAGTAATTAATTACACGGGGATCCGTGCTGTTGTTTCGGGGGGGGGTAAACCTTCGTTAATCCTGTCCCTCTGTCTGTAAATCCCCTCCTTCCTCCACAGGATGATCCCAGCGCTGTATTGGAGGGTTTCTTGATTGCCTACGGTTTTGTATCCAAACTAAATCCCTCCTTTGGAATGCTTTTAGAGGACAGCGGTTTATTGTAGAGTCGCTGAGCAGGTTTGTGTTTGTGCGCGACGTCCCGCCTCTCCGTTCGATTCAAGCAAGCGCACGTCCTTCCGCCTCGACGAGGTAATGACGCAAATCTCTGAATGGCGGCCGTGCCCTTCTGACCCAGATTAGCTCACCACATCCAGAAACACTGCACCAACTGCTATTCTTCTGTATTCAAGCCTGATTCTGTACATTGAGAAATCTCGGGGCTCCCCCCCCCCCAAAACGTAAATTCTTAACGGCGTTTGCTGCAGGCAAAGTCTCCTCTCGACCCCGGAGGCATGCGAGTGTGGTGTAGGGTGTACTCTGGTGTTTTTAAGCCACCGGAGACACAGATCGGACTCAGTGAGTCAGCAGGTTTCACACAAACGGCACAATAACCGTCAAAAGGTGAGTTGCACATGACCACATGGACAATGGCCTCTCTGGAGTGGTGTCTCCGTCATGCATGTCCTTGTGTAAATACACACACACACACAAAAAAAACATACGTCCTTGTCCTTCGCTCTGAGCCTCATTGCATTCAGCGCGCCGCCATCCGGTGCTGAAGCCTTTGTCTTTGGAGAGATGGTGAAAGGTCGGCAGGCAGGACAGACTAGAATTACCTATGCTATGGTAATATGCTATGGCTATGGCTATGTTGCGGTTTACGTCGGTGTCTGCCAAAAATGTTACGGGTTTCGTGAGGTGACCACTGAGTCCCGGGTTTGCGCCCAATATGAAGTCGTCCACCGAAGGCGTCCTCATGATCGGGCGAGTATTGGACGGCCGTACGGTCAGAGTGACCTTTGAGTTTGGGTCTAATTCTAATCTGTTAATCTTTGAGTACAGGTGGATTTTTGGACCAAATTTTAAGAAATTCAGACAGTTTTTTTTTTAAAGAAATCTTATTCCTGAGAACAAACTCTTAGACGAACACGCAGATGAACAACCCAAAACCCTGATGCCAGGAGAAGAAAATAGAACCGCCCTCCCTCACAAAGCCCTCACCCAAGATTCAGTATCGTAATAAATAAGTGTTTAACAACCAATATGTTGCTCCCTTCAGGGAACATATCGTCCATTGATATGAACAGTGTCGTTCCCTTCAGCCACTTGAGATAGAAAACAACTGCAGCTCCACTCAGACTGAATGCTCATATTGATTAAGAAGGGTTCTGAAAATGCATCCATTATCATTATTGACAGCAATCACAGGTGATTATTTAAAAGGAGATTACAGGGGGAAGAGTGACAGCTCAAACAGTTGAGTGATGAAGCGCATGACGTGCAGATCATTTATGTATCAGTGGTTTCATGCAGACTCACAGTACGTCCGAGCCCCATGTCTGCACAATACTACCAAACTACCATCCTGTAGTTTGACTCATTTATTTAACATGAATAAAGTTAGACATCTGGGCCCAGAAGCTCAATCTGACCCGTGCTCTTTGATGCCGGAGCAACCATGTTGCTCATTGCTGAACATACAGTAGTGCATCTCTAAATATGGCCGTGGCTTACACAAGCCCGTGCTGTGCTTCCACAGGGAATAGAGCGGCCTTTGTTCCCTCGGAGCCTCACACAGGCCCATCGCTGCGCTTTGTGCTGCGCCTTTCACTGACAGACACACATCAATACCAGGGGAATTAGGCCAGAGAGTTCTGGCAGCGAGGTTTTTGTGTGTGTCTGTGTGTGTGTGTGTTTTTTATCTGACAAAGACAAAAAGGAAACAGAGCAAGATTAATGGATTTGCATTAAGACTTTATGGGGAAATGTGCATCTGTGTACATACGTTGAGGTGTCTTTGACAGATGGAAGCTGGACCATATCTCATTCAGCAGCTGCGTGATGACAGCATGGGCAGGAAGCAGGAACAACAGATATTGTATTTATCTGTGTGTGTGTGTGTGTGTGGAGGGGGGCAGAGGATAGCACGGTTGTGTCAGCTCCGACAGAGCAGGAGATGACTTCAGCACGCTGCAGAGGCGGCGATAAGAGACATCTCTTTGTATGAGACGGGGGCAGCGAGGGAAGAGACAGGAGGCGCCACAGAGGGCCGAGCGGATCGAGAGGCACCACGTCGCCGCGGCGCGCTTCGTCCCGGGCCGTGTCGGGTTCAGCCGGGGGCCGTCGGCACAGAGTGCGTCGGAATGAGGAGGTGAATGGCAGGTGGTTCCGCGAAAGAGGCGGCCCCGCGGGGGCCTGTTGCGCAAGGTGAAACCCCGAGGGAGGCCCCGCCGCAGGCGCCTTTACCTTTCCAGGAAGAGGACAAACCAGAGCACGCGCGATCATTCACTCCCACGCACGCGCCGAAAGGACTTGTTGTTGGTGCCGCGTTAAACTGCCCGTAACACATTCAGAGGAGTTACAGTTCCCCTCAAAATCTCTCAACGTGGTGAAGCTTGAGCTTAGTTTTGTCAAAAAAAAGTAAACCCTTTCTCACAAGGAATGCCGAAGTCAAATCTTCTCCCAGGTGGCTCAAGCTAGCGGTGCCTGGCACCCGAGGGGGAAACCAGCAGGTAAAAACTGATCGTTAAACATCTTTTCTAAAAACCCGATCTCATCTCTCGGGCAACAGGACACCACCCGTAACTACATCTACCATTACCTCCCCCACTCGTAGCGCTGTGAAAAACGATTACAAAATGCACACACCCACAGAGAAGTCTGAGTCACGGTCAGTGGGAAAACAAAGACGAAGCTACAAAGGGAGCTTGCGGATTACACTCCATCGCCGCAGTGGAGATGTTATCGTGTTGATGCTGTTATGAACGCACAGGGCCTGCGAGCGTCTCTGAGGGTCAGCGGACAGCAAACAGGTCTATGACGCAGCGCGGTGGAGTCAAGCCTCACGGAAGGCCGGCTACACCTCTAAACCTCGTTGAAAGGCACATCTCCGCATCCGTGCTCGACACCGCAAGACGTGTCCCGATGAATAATTCACCGTGCGCGTGGAACCGACACCGTGTCTGCGCTGGATGGAGAGTTGGTGGTGGGGATCTCTTTCCCCTCACCGTTTACCAGTAGGACGGATGTCTTCACACGAGGGAGGCGGGGGGGGCTTCCAGTGAACAAGAGGACGAATCATTGGCGCGTCTGATACGTTTCAATCGTGGCAAAAAAGCCGCCTCACTTTAACCTGATGTGTGTTTAACAGAGTCCAACGTGGCTCGGGTTCCACCGGCAGGGAATCGCCAACTGTCCACGGGCTGGAAACCACCGACACGCCAGCTGAAATCTCATACCAGAGATTGCGTTAAAAAAGGTGCGCGACCACAGGCTTGAGATGCGGGTGAGGAGGGAGGCAACGCAGCGGAGAAACCGACGGGGTCGTCTGGCTCCGTGACGCCGGCATGCGACAACAACTTTACGCAGCGCGGATATAAATCGTCCACATCGTCACCTATTTAAATAACTCTTCAGTCTGGACTCGGGTAACCAGACACCTCTGCGGCTCACTGGGGACTGAGGGAGGGGGGGGGTTAGCGGGGATCAGGACATCCAAGCTCTGGTCTTGAAGCTCTTACTATGAGCGGGACGTCGGACTCAACGCGAAGCCTGCGGGTCAACGATGTCGAGCCGCCGCTTTGAGAGAGGATTCAAGTTGAAAGGGGGGTGCAGAAGGCAATGTCTTATTGGCAATAGAAATAAAATCCACAGGACTCCCCCCGAAGCCAATACGGGGGGTTCATTTGTCCCAATTTTCCTTCAAAAGTTACAACTTTTTATAAACAGATTTTACCATCCTGTGTGAGCATCTTTGAACAATAAATAAAAAAGCTCCTGTCCTATTTTATGGGTGCAAACTGTCGCGATGCTGTGTGACCCCCACTCCCCCCCCCGTGCCTCTTCTCTAACAGGAAGGAATGAGCAGGCAGCTCGTTGCCACCAGAAACCACAGCTTTCACAGGGGAATGGAACCTTCCTTCTGGAAGCGGGGGACTCCTGTTGGAAAGAAGGAGTCCAGTTCATTCAGCTACGAGACAAGTAGGACGGCACCGCTTCTGACTGCCGACTGAAAAATCATATCAAAGTTTGACTGTAAAAGTGCTGAATGAGGAAGGGTGGGGTGAGAGAGTGTGAGAAAAGGAAAAAGGAAAAAGTGCGTTTCCTCTCTGAGACACGACACTTCCCCTTTAGCCAAACCTCTAGTTGAGAACACGGAGCCATATTCATGCCGCCTGCGTTGATGCGCAGACTTTAAATCAACAGAACTGAATAAAAAAAACTCTTATCTGATCGTGCATCCTCCAGCTGAACAGTTTCCCCATCACTCATTTGTGAGAAAAGGACACCACCATCAAAACCGCCAACCATAATATCATGTTGTGTTTTTTTTTTCCAGTTGAATGATGCGCCGCTCAACCAATCAGGCTATGAATTCACCACTCGGCTGATAAGCGCTACGTTCCTTTTAACCCCACTTTCACCCGCAAATTCCATCGCTCCGTTTCCAACGCCCCCGGTGTGACCCGGATGTGCGCCTCCTGTGCCGCACACTTCCGTCCTGGTGCCGTCACCGAGCAGAAAGACTGTAGCGCAGCAACAAAGACATAAAAACGTCACCAGCTTCCCGTGCGCAAACGCTGCCGGCGGCTCTGAGCCGCTGCCAAGAACTCAGCTCAGGTCTCTGCAGAATGCGTCTCTCGCTACATCGCACATGGCGTTTGATCCGCAGCAGAGGGGAGCGGCCGCGCCAAAACCCAGAGAAACGTGTTTCCTTTACCTGAAGTGGCCAAACATTCTGTGTCGGTGGCAAACCGAGCAAAGCCTCGACGCGTCTTTGTGCCGCTCATCCTATTCCTATTCAGGGAGAAAAACATTGTGAGGGACGTCTGGTACATTCTGGACGCACAAATCCGTACAAACTGACGAGCGCGGTGACATCACGGTCGCGTGCGCGGACAATCCCGGGGTCCACTTACGGCCAATTCACCAAACGTCTTTGAATTCGCAGCACCCAAAGGAGATTTTAACCCAACACTACAAATGCATAAACAATTTGCCCATGCAGTAAAAACAACGTGACACGTCGTGCATGTAACCACGATCTACACGTCATCCTGCCGATCCGGCCTTGTTATGAGAAATTGCAGCTTCCTCTACATGCAGCCAATCAATCAGCCCCTGCGGCAGTCGGGAGCGCTCACACACAGGAGCTGAGGTAAGCTTGTGATCCAGGGTAAGCACATCATCTTCACGACGGCCGCCGCCGAAGCGTTACACGAAGCCGGTCACAAGTCAGGAGGAGGAGGCGGCAGCTCCATCTTTAGGGAGCCGCAAGTTCTGTTTTGTAACCACCGAGCACGCGGACATGAAACACTCTGCGCTCGTAAAAAAAAAAAAAGGTTCTCGTATCTCAGCTGGGATACCGAGCGGGAAGGCACAGTGCGAGGGCAGGAGAGGGAGGAGGAGGAGGAGGACGAGGAGGAGGAGGAGGAGGGAGGTGTCATCGTGGTGGTCTGACTGCCGGAGTGAGACGTGAATGGCTGCGGTAGCAGTGCCCTGAAGGGGCAGCCAAGCTCTCGGCCACTTAGCAGAGTACATGCTGAAGATTGTGGGACACGTCACGTCACACGAGACACTACGAACCCTCTTTATGTCAAAATATGGACAGAGTTGTGGCTGGAGGATACGGCTAAAATCACGATGCGGTTCATTTCATTTCACGAAAATCATCATGATGTAGCTTTCATTCTGCTGGTGCAACAAATGAAGCTAATTTCTTGTATCCTTGTGTTTGAATTCAAATGTTGACTTAAGAGACTGAATTGTAAATTCAACGCCATAATTTAAAGTAAAATTCTATATATATTCTTCATATATTTCAAGCTTTACCCTGCATGCACGCACATGAACACAGAGTAATCCTTTGCCAAAACAAATTGATTTAACAGATTTGCTCAGACTTTACTGAGAAACGTGAGTTAGTATGTGCTTGTTATTATCAATTTAGATACATCCCGACAAGTAGGATGAGTTAAAAAGAGATAAACGCAAACCTTCAGTCCATTGTCACAACGCCGGAGCGGATGTCCTTCATCGCGGGGGAGACGACAACCTGCTACCTCGGTCTACAAGCAGAGAGGAAGGAAAAAAGAGTCAGATGGAAACCGTGATCCTCTAAAGGCTTCCTTGGCACATCGTACTGTCTTTGGCCGCCCACTTCACGCCTCGCTGTGAGAGTGTGTGTGCGCGTCCCCAAGACGCTGAGAACAGGGTCGCGAGGGGGAAAATGAAATCTGTGAAGCTACTGGGCATCAGATGTAACGAGGCTGCGGATGTTCAGACCATGAAATGCATTTAGCCCATCAGATGGCACCAGCCAGACTGAAATGAACCTTGCCTTATTAAAAGGTGTGTGGGTTGCCAATGGAAGGGTGCATAGCAGATACCATGTCACCTTGTCACTTTGTCTCTTGTCTGTTACTTGTTCGTTAGTGCACTTTATGCTTAATATTTTTCTTTTTAACTTTTTAATATTTAAAATTGTTTAACTTTATTCTCTTGTTTTATACTAACCCATAGCCTTATTCTGCTAACCCATTGCATTAGCATTTCATTCCACTTTAATATATTACTTGTGCACTGTTGTCTTGTCTGTCTACTGTCGCGCACCAACCGCCAAGACAAATTCCTTTCTATGTTTGACATATTTTGGCTAATAAATGTTTCCTGATTCCTTCCATAAGGGGACTGGTTCATTTTAGCAAGGTTTAAAGAAGGTACTGTGGAGGGGGGGGAACACCACACCTTACACACAACTTTAATGCACCGGTCTGTAACAAGCTAGCAAAGACTTTGACTACATTTCAAGATATAAATAACTATGGGTATTTCCTACTATAACGTTACGTACAAGTAAACCAATAGACTACTAAATTAAATTATGTAAAATGAAAAAAAAAATAATATTAAAAAAAATAAAAATAAAAATAAATAAAAGTAAATATATTATAACTGCAGCCGAACAGCCGCGCGTGAACGCTCTGATGACGTCACGGGAGATGAAACACAGAGACCGTTACGAAAGATAAATTGAGTGACACGGTACTTTAAACGCGATCAAATGAAACAACCGTGGACGAGCCGTCGCGCACGTTTGTGAGGCGACGTGTCTGCGGCTACCGGCGGAACACCGAAAACGGTCGAGAGCCGGCCGGTTGAGCGGCAGTTACCCGGGACTGTAGGTTGACAAGTCCCCCGCCGGCGTGTCGCCGCACAGAGCCGCTAATGCGATGAGAGATCCACACCGACACCCTGAACCGCTTCTCCGCCAACACACGTCCCACAGCGGCACGAACCGCCGGTAAAACCACCGGGGAAATCCGCCAAAAAAAACAAAACAAACCCAACAACCCTGAAATGTTTGACACTTACAGCCGGTGACAGCAAACTGTTGGAGCTGACAGACGCTTGGCGAGCGGCAACCCTCCACCTCCCGCGAGCTCCGTCCGCCCAACGCCCGGTTCGCCCCGCCCCGTTTCTGACGTCATGACGCAGAACGTGACGTAATGCGGAAGAGGCGTCGCGATATTAGGGAGCCGTCGCTCGCGTGTGAAAACAGACGAGACGAGAAGAACAGACGTTCGGTGTGTATTCAAGAAAAAGTCGAAACATCTAAAAAAACAAAACTCTTTCTTGTAACCGCCAAGACAAATTCCTTGTATGTTTGACATATTTTGGAAATAAATGTTTCCTGATTCCTGATAAACGGCAACTTTACCACAACCTCACAAATAGCGTTAGTCTCGAGAAACCAAACATCCTGCTGCAACAGTCCTGTAGGCCTGTCGTTTGAAACTGATTGTGTGACACAATTTTGTGTTCGCTGTGCATTTTTGGCCTTTCCCTTGTCACCTGTTTTCTCACATGGTTGATTCATCTTGGCAAAATAGGCACACAATGTGAAAATTACAACAAATAAACCCAAAAGATAGGGAGCAAAGCGAGTGGTCTACCGTCTGGTCAAATGTTTTATGTGTGACTTCCTACAGCATGGTGGTCGTCAATACTAATCCTAAAATCCTAAATAGACATGAATAATAAAAAATATAGTCTCTTAGGGGAAATAAACAGATGATAACATGTTGTACTGTTTCGCTACATTCAATAAGATTAGTTAACTCACGGAAAACCAAATCCGAAGCGTTCTGTTCGGCTTGACATCTTTCATAATGTCTTATTTTCGGAGAACCGATGGCTGCACGTCGGATCTAATTCAACACTTCTTCATCCTTTAACAGGTTGTGACAACCGTTCATTGTCCAATCTCCAAAAAATAAAGGAACGATGTCAATAAAAGTTTGACACAATCCTCCACAGTCAGCGTCATAGAAATCTACTCCTTAACACCTGCAGACGCATCTGCACGTTTAGATCATCACCACCGTTCAACTTCTGAAGTCAAAACGCTTTGCTTTGTACGTTGTTGCTCCTCTCCGCTAGATGGCGGCGTTGACACAGACATGGAGGCCAGAGCATCTGTGGGCGGCGAGAGAGGTCTGCGTCACTGCCTCGTGTTGTTCATCGAAGCCCACTGTGATTCTGTCAGGTATGAAAACCACACGAGGGTTCTGCACTAGAACTGTTGACCTGCTGCAGGTGGAGGTTTAACCCGATCAAGGGAATGAAGGGACACGCGAGGGTCTGAGGAGCGAGAGCGTTGTCCCAAAAATCTCGTCTCCTCTTTTATGATGATACAAAAAATACATTTTGTTTGAATTGATTTGCACTTATATGCCATTTGTACCTGCAGTAATGCTTAAACCTCACGGCTCATTCGTAGCTGAGAGATACATTATTCCCACACTCTTTGTCAGAAAACTTACCACAGAAAAATAGATTGAAGATAATTCAATACTCTCATATCATTGTAAATTCTAACTACTCACGACTGTGAACAATCAAAAACACTTCAGGTTGAATTAATTCAAGCACTTATTTATAAGGCGAAGAACAAAATGAACAAGCACCTCTTTGTACAGCAAACAACTCACTGAACACTGTATGAGACGAATATCACTTTTTCCCAATGAGCTGTGCTTCCGCTGCAAATTCGACGGTGCCAGAAGCCACAATTCACTCGTCTAAAAAGAAATAAATCAAAGCATCCTGCCGCCCTTCTGGTTGTGAGATCCAAACGGGGATGGAGAGATACACAACGAGGGGTTAACACTCGGGAGTCAAAGCACCGAGTCCATTCGTCTCTGATCGTGGACGCCTCACAGGGGCATTAACCCGTTTACGCTGGAGTCACCGGCAGAAGGAAACCATTTATTCATATTTTCCGACCAATATGTTTCACACGAGCCATTCACTCTGTTTCCCTGGTAACCCTCAAGGTTTCAATAATACCCGGAACAATCATTACCATCCCATAAGCTCCTTGCTCAGGTGAAGAGAACGAAATTCTACATTGTCCCCACTCCCTTCATCCCTCCTAGTACCTCCGAGTGTCGCCCTGACCCTCTGACCACGAACCTCCACCCAAAACCAGTCCTCAGAGGTTGTAACTGACCTGCACATTGTTGCCATGCAGGGAGTTGCTTTCATTTATAAATCAAAATGAATAATGAGAGCAGTTAGGGACAGAAGTTGGACCTGTTAGAAGTGTGAATCACCAGAGTAACTGAGAGCTGGTGCCAGTTAGATGGAGAGACACATGCGGCAGGTTATAAATGGGCTGTAAAAGCTCTTAATGGATGCGTCAAGTTGTTTTTCAGAAAACAGGTCGAGCAAAGAAAAAACATCCCGGAGAGCGAGAAAAAAAGAGCTTGAGTTTGTATGTGTGAGGATTGTCTATTTTTCCACATGATCCAGACCTTTGCTCCCATTAGCCAAAAGATGCAAACGGAAACACGCAGTGCAGCTAAAATAAAAATGCCCACGGGCGCCACAGGCGGGTTGTTTTTTCGCTGCTCCCGCAGTAGAGCAGGGGATAATGCGAAGGATTAGTGCGAGCGGCCGATGCCGGTCGGGCCCTTTTTCTCTGAGAGAGACACAGGCGAGGATGCTGCCTCTCAGTGGCCCTCGCCAATTACGCCGTCCGCTCCGGCGGGGCCCGGGGGCTAATGAAGAGGCCGGAGCACGGTAGGGGGGTGGGGGGGTGGAGGCGGACGGCCCGGGATCGATCCCGGTGAGGCCCGCAGGTGGGGGCGCCGACACGGGGAAGCATCTCGAGGCCTCTCGAGCCCACACAGGTCGCCCTGGGGGAGAGATGCGCCTGCATCCTTTTTCACTCCGACAAACTTTGCGGAATACGCAGGATTCAGAATATTGAAATGACTGGCAACAACCAGTGTGTCCTTTTGTTTGTTCCATTTGGATTCGTTCATGACAAAAAGTGGAAATAGTCACATGATCCTGTTTTCAACACTTGTTGAGCAGCTCGAAATCAGAGATACTGAAAACACTCTAAGAAATACTGCATTTCTAAACACAATCGTTCTTTTTTTTTTAAGCCCCACGCTCACATTATATTCTGATCAGGCCCACTGCCGCTCATTCTCTGATAAGGTCAGGACCCGTCGCCTCCCCCTCAATGTCTCCGCACCTCCCCGGTGATCAGCATGCTGATGGAGCTAATTGCCATTTCTTGTTTTGGATTAGCATTCAACGGTAAGCGTTAGCCAGAAGGGGCTGACGGCTGTTACGCGTAATGCTAACTTCAGGTCAGACGTTCCAAGTGTGTCCGTTGCCGCTGACTCCGGCGGCCCGTTTCAACCGGCTGTTCTCATGATGCACAAATTACCTGTAGAAAACACCTGTCGCCATGGCGATTACAGGACTGTTGGGCCTCACCGGCCCGCGTTTAAATATCTCCTCGACTATCGGAGTGCGGTTGGAGTCTGGGTGCCGTTCGTGGTCCCCGGAGGACGAAGCCCGATGGCTTTGCTGAGGTCCAGATCGTGACTTTGGTCCCACAAGGTCAACATTTTAATTTCGTCCAACACCAGTCGCTCTCCGCTTTGCATTTGGTCTCTTCATACAATCATTCTTCATGTGTTTTAGCCCTGAAATAAAAGCAAAATATTAAACACACAGCTCAACATTTCATCGGCACCATCTTAAATAGAAAATGAATTACATCTGAGGAACCAGGAGTTTTTCAAAAGATATTCTCCAGGTAGTTGGAGAGTCATTGATAGTCACAAAGAGCCTTGTGAGATATTTCCAGAAAGGCTGTGAAGATGAGGCCTAATTGCTTTTCTTTGAACCTGATTCACGGACGTGGGCTCTTACAGGTGTCCTCATCATCAGGGAATAGTGCCGCCTGTGATACAAATACTTCACGGTGCAGCGTGAGTCACGGTACGATATATATATTATACCTGCAGCGCGTCGAGAGGTTGTGCCGCGAGCTCCGCGTAGCCTCAGAGGGATCCCCGAGTTCATGAGATAAACAAGAACGATTAACCAAAGCAGCCACATCAATACGCGCGGAAGCTACTGAGCAACATGCCAAAGTTTCCCTTTAAAAGCTTTGGAAAACAATTGTAGAATTAGTTCCTTTGTGCTTCACGCATGTTTGAATGATATTGTCAGTGTCACTGCTGGCCGACACGGTTTTAAATGGGCTTTTAACCCCTAAGTGCGAAGCAGGAACAAAAGATGCTGATGTGGGTTGCAACCAGCAGCGGCATGCATTATTGATCCCAGATAATTCAATCAGAGAGATTGTGGAAGACCAGAACTGATCTACGTGGCATCGGACCAATATAATGAACTTGTGGGTCAATGCAATTAGTCGAGAGTCGAATCCTAATGGTCATCAAAGTGTGGTCCAATTCTCACTGTGCGGATTATTTCATTGATGGAGATTAGTAGAATAAAAGGGCATGAAAAAGACAGATCAATGAATATATACAGGAAGAATACAAAATATGCCCTTAAAAAACTATTTTTTTTATTGGGATCAGAGATTAATTAGGGACGCAGAAACCTGCCATCTGGCAGCTCAGATTCACATTCTAGAGTTTAACGAAGGTTTGTTTTCCCACAACTAATCCGACAACAAGTCAGTGTGTTCTCCTCATTACGCGATATAAAACCACAGACCAGCATAGACTTTAAAATGTGCTCTATCACTCAATGACGTGGGTGTAATCTGCAAGCCCGGTCCACGGATTAAGTACAAATAAGGATTTCTAGAATGTAAATTGGCATAAATTTGCTGAAAAGTTGAGTTTAACACTCTCTATCACGCATCGGATATACCTGTCAGAACAAGCTGATTTTATCTGCAAGCTCATTTTCAAATATCAAATGGGAGCCGAAGAAATTATAAATACATGGTGCACACATTACTCTGCCATCACGCAACCCTGTGTGTGGGCGGGGGGGCATCTTCTCAAGGAGCATCTTTGGGCTCAATCAGAGCTCAGAAGACATAGAAGCTTATGTCTCAGTTGAACTATTACTTACGAAACAAGTCGCCGCTGAGTCATCCTCCTCTACCTCTTGTTCTTCATTTTCAATTAGCAATCAGCAATTAAACACGCGCAGCCGACGGGAGCAGAAGGCCTCTCTGAGGTCTCCAAGCTGCTTCATCTCCATCAAGCGCCAGGACTTCACTACTTCTACAACGCACGACAATGAGATGCAAGTGTGCCTTTAAGGTTTTTGAAAATATGAAACCTTCATTACATTGATGTATAAACAGAGAGTATTACGCCATTATGTAACGGGGTGGAGCTGGCGCCCGGCCGCAGCTTCTGCACGTTCGCTCTCGGTCTCAATGAGGAAAAAGCGCGACAGGACGTGAATATCTTCCCCGGGAATCTCGTTTGTTCGGATGCGTCCGGGCTCTGAATAAGTATGAAGAGTAAAAAAAAAAGCCTGTGCACATCGGGACGGTGGAGCTTCCCGGCTTTTGTACTCATTTTTAGAACTCAATTACTTCAGAGACCCCGAGTGAGCAGTTCACACACACACACACACACACACACACACACACACACAAACGATTGCTTCTCGATGACAGCAGTCTAGGCCTGCTGGAGGAGAGGAGGGTCACGCGTGTGTCTTGTATGTTCAAAGGCCTGCAGGTCTCCACCGCGTCCTGCAGACCCCGTATCTGCAGAGTCAGCAGTAATGGCAGAATTCCCAGAGGACAGTTCTGAAAGTCTCCCAAACTCTGTGGCATCGGGACAAACGGTGACGTTCTTGTTTTGCATGAACGCCAAAAAAGAAAAGGAAAGATGGGTTCACGAGTAGAGGCGTCAAAAAGGTCGCTCCTCTCACGCGTGAGGGAGGGTGAGAGGAAAGACGAGAGGGCCACAAATTAGATTCCTTAGGCCCTTAATGGTGTGTGTGTGTGTGTGTGTGTGTTTGTGTGTGTGTGTTCGCATTACTTTAAATCAGTCGCGGTGGCTTTACTGCTCCGTTTGTCCAGGCGTTAATAATAATGATATATTTTATATCTACAGCACTTTATATGGTTAAAAGATAAATAAAATCAGTAACGAGCAAAGTAAAACAGTTAATTAACACCAAAGTGAGGATGCGTGTTTATTCTCCTCTCCGGGATGTTTCAGTAAAAACTAAAGTTGT